TGTTTCGACAGTAAAAGGGTGGGACTGAGATGAGAAGCTAGTAGCAAGCTTAAATTTATACAGACGGGGCATCAGTGAAAAAAGCTTATCAGAGCAGATGCCATGAAAACATTTATAGAAAAGAGACAGGGAGACCACATTACGTCGATGACTGGAGTCTAGATGCCAGATCAGGACCTATCGCATTGCATATTCCTCTTTGGATTTTGTCGAGAACCTCGAGATGAAAAGCGAGGGCACCAGACCATATATGGCAGGAGTATTCCATGCATAGGCAAATGGAAGAAAGATGCTGGGCACTGTTTTGTAAAACTGGGGCCCATGAAATCAAATAGGCGTCTCCAAAGTCTATTATGGTTTATAGGAACACCACCAAAATTTTAAACTCGCAGCTGATTTCCTCCCCAGACAATTCAATCGCAGGAGATGTGGTTCAATATTCCAGAAAGCGAGTTGATAACGATTCATCACTACAGAACAGAAATTCTGTGATTATCAACGGCTGTATTCTCAATGAAGCTCTCTGCTTTTGAGCTTTGGATCTCTCTCTCTCTCTCTCTCTCTCTCTCTCTCTCACACACACTCTCTCTCTCTATATATATATATATATATATATATATATATATATATATATATTCAACATCATCGCTTAATAACACACCAGCATTGTTGAAACAAAATTGCAATTTTCGTAGTGATCTTATAAGCATTATTTGAATAAATATTATTTTCTCTACTCAGTATTAAGCACACTTTTAAGAATAGTGTTTGGAATTCAATTCTATCTGTACTAAAACCTATATATATATATATATATATATATATATTCAACATCATCGCTTAATAACACACCAGCATTGTTGAAACAAAATTGCAATTTTCGTAGTGATCTTATAAGCATTATTTGAATAAATATTATTTTCTCTACTCAGTATTAAGCACACTTTTAAGAATAGTGTTTGGAATTCAATTCTATCTGTACCAAACCTATATATATATATATATATATATATATATTCAACATCATCGCTTAATAACACACCAGCATTGTTGAAACAAAATTGCAATTTTCGTAGTGATCTTATAAGCATTATTTGAATAAATATTATTTTCTCTACTCAGTATTAAGCACACTTTTAAGAATAGTGTTTGGAATTCAATTCTATCTGTACCAAACCTATATATATATATATATATATATATATTCAACATCATCGCTTAATAACACACCAGCATTGTTGAAACAAAATTGCAATTTTCGTAGTGATCTTATAAGCATTATTTGAATAAATATTATTTTTCTCTACTCAGTATTAAGCACACTTTTAAGAATAGTGTTTGGAATTCAATTCTATCTGTACCAAAACCTATATATATATATATATATATATATATTCAACATCATCGCTTAATAACACACCAGCATTGTTGAAACAAAATTGCAATTTTCGTAGTGATCTTATAAGCATTATTTGAATAAATATTATTTTCTCTACTCAGTATTAACACACTTTTAAGAATAGTGTTTGGAATTCAATTCTATCTGTACCAAACCTATATATATATATATATATATATATATATATATATATATATATATATATATATATATATGAGTGAACATTGAAGTCAACACCCAGAGGTGACAGGCTATTTCATGCGAGGGGGCCTAACGACTGAAACAGCCTGTCACCTCTGAGTGTTCAACTTCATATATATATATATATATATATATATATATATATATATATATATATATATATATGTGTGTGTGTATCGTCATCCACATAAAGACTGTTTTGCTGTATCACTGCTCATCAGTGTGACTAGACATCTGATTGCCTCAAGTCGGGATCGAAACCCAGGTGATTTGGCATCAACAGGAAAATTACTACTGATCTATCAGCACCTGGTAGAGAGGAATGCGAATTTTAAGTACTTACTTACGTATATATATATATATATATATATATATATATATATATATATATATATATATATATATATATATATATATATATATATAATTTTAAAAAAACTATAAAGAAAGGTTTATATATAAAAGAAAAGTTTACTGAATCAGTGAAATTAAGTAACCATTTCTGCTGTCATAGTCATATACAAAAAAAAAAAAAAAAAAAAAAAAAAATGTAACCTCATATACATACTTAAACTTAATGTTAAAATAATCCTACATAATATAATGGATTCTAATACATTTAACTGTTCTTAAAAAGAATATAGTAAAATAAAATTAAAAAAGGAAAATATTTCAAATCGTAGTTAAATAAAAGTATTGTAAAAAAATCTTTAATTTTAAAAGATGACGTTGAAAAATTTTTACCGTTAACAATTTTTTTTTTTTTTTTTAAAATTCAGACGACATCCATTCAACTGACGTCAGGTTTCAGTGTAAAATACATCCTCACCCCTTACCAAAATGTAGCTAATAACTGATACAATGATACTGTCATAAGGAAAATCTAGACACCCCGTGTTCAATTTGAGTAGAATATTCTGTAACCATGGAAACGTGATTTTAGCTGTGTATTTAAAACCCGGTAAATTTTAAAAGTTACTCCAAAATTCGCTTGAAGATGAAATAGAACTAATGCTTTTAATTTATTTGCAAAAATAAAATTAGGGGTTTTAGCTTCTATTTTTGAAACATGGTTGGAACTGTGTAGCGAAAATAACCATATTTTAAATCAATTAATTTATAATATATATATATATATATATATATATATATATATATAGTTTTTAAAGTGTGCTATATTTATGGGATAAAGAGCTCAATAAATACAGATATAAAAGTCGACATTGAAGGCAACACTCAGAGGTGACAGGTTTCAATCGTCAGGCCGCCTGTCGCCTCTGAGTGTTGATTTCAATGTTCATTTTGATATATATATATATATATATATATATATATATATATATATATATATATATATATATATGTATATGTATGTATGTATGTATGTGTGTGTGTAAATTTCAAATTGGAAAAAATTAAGATCGAGTATATTTGTAAAAGGCCAATATGAATATTGACAAAAGGAAAACTTGACACGTTTCGTCCTCTGAGCGACTTTGTAAAAGCAAAGGTAAAGATTTTATTTTTGACAAGTATTTATATACAAGACCAAAAATGTTATTGTTTTTTTTTATCAACATTTTTGGTATAGGGTTGCTCCTGAATATTCATCACATTAGGGGAAAAGTCAGACAAGTCCATGGACGTCAGGCGATGCAATTTAATGCCTAATAAACGAGAGTATATATGTATGTATGTATTAGTATTTAAATATTTAAATTATTTTGATTTATGTGTTATATGTTTTGAGGATATGGATTTCACCGTTTTATTTTAATTTTTTGTGGTCATATCTCTTGATTTGGGGTTTTAATAATTCTTTCAGAAGTTATTGGAAAGAATCCGAACGCAGCTTTATATTTGATAAGTTTCAATAGCAGCACTTTCGAGAATTTACCTCCTAAATAAGTTTCTTTTTTTAATAAGTATGGCATACGCTAGTTCAAAGTACCGGCTGCTCGGTCTCACGTTGACCTGAGATGGAACAAATACATTGAGTCAATTCCTTCGTCCACCGCAAGGAATGTTGGCTCCCTGTGCCGCGCCAGGAATTTTTTCTCCCCGGAATCGATCCTCCAGATCTACAAATTAACAATTCGCGCTTGCATGGAGTATTGCTGCCATATATGGTCTGGAGCCCCTTCTGTTTGCCTCGGGGTTCTTGATAG